CCACCTACAATCTGTTCTACTCCACCCCGGCCTGCTATCTGAACTCCGTACATGAGGGGCTACAGACTTGGCCCAACAAAACCGACGACTTCTTCCCCTATGCCAGCGACTCCAACAGCTTCTGGACAGGATACTACACCTCTCGACCCACCCAAAAACGCTTCGAGCGCGATGGCAACCACATGCTGCAGACTGCCAAACAGCTCAGTGTCTTTGCCGATCTGAAGAGTCAGCAACAGAAGGAAGACCTCGATTACCTTCGCCAGATAATGGGAGTAATGCAACACCACGATGCCATCACCGGAACGGAGAAGCAGGCGGTGTCCAACGACTACGATCGACTGCTCTATGATGGCATTATCGGAGGAGCCAGCAATGCTCGAGATGCCCTGCGAGTGCTGACCAATCTGCCAGAGGGGGAGTTCGAGAGCTGCCTGCAGCTGAACATCAGCGAATGCGCCTTCACCCAGGACAGTGCGGACAATGTGGTGGTGACCCTGTTCAATCCATTGGCCCACACCTCCTCACAGTATGTGCGAGTACCCGTGAAGGAGGAGAACTACCAGGTGACTGACGAAAAGGGACGCCTGGTGGCCTCTGAGGTGGTGCCAGTGGCCTGGCAAGTCCTGGCTCTGGAATACCGCCAGAACACAACTCAGCACGAGCTCGTGTTCAAGGCATCCGTGAACAAGATCGCCAGCTACTACATCAAGAAGGTCGACAAGGTAGAGAGCAAGGAAATTGTCCTGCCCAAGGCTGCTAAAAAGTCGGTGAAGCAAAACGAAAAGAACTTGGAGGTGCCCCAGCGATTTAAGAAGGTCCATTCCATGCAGAATGTGGAGACTCACGCCGATGATGATTCCGAAACTGTGGTCCAGACATCGGAGATCAAATTGGTGATCGACAATAATACGGGTCGCCTGAAGACCGTTGAGATGAACGGAGTGTCCGAGGCTATTGACCAGAACTTTGCCATTTATGAGACATATGAATCCGGAGCTTATGTCTTCCGTCAAAAGGAAGACGTTGATCTGAAATTCTTGGAAGACAAGGTGGAGTTCACAGTTTACG